CTTGGAATCATTGCTTTTGGCTTGGGTGCTTTCAGGGCTTAGAAGGCGTTCGGGCTTTGGACGTCAGGTTAAGTGGAGAAAAAAGCGGTTTACGGGTTTAGGGGTTTAGGGTTTAGGGTTTGAGGAGGGTATTCAGGCGGGATATACAATGTGGGGCCCTTCAGTTATAACTTAGTAAGCCCAGATACATGTAAGTCATATCTTAGTTGGGGAAGTTAGTCTCAAAAGTATACTAAAACAAACCTGGCCTTGTTAGGCGACAGAAGTACAAAAATCGTGGCATTAATGAGAGAGGCACATTTATGTATATGTTTTTGATGATTTTTTACATAGATGTATAGTTGACACACCGTGTTTCGTATAGATACATATATACTTATCTTCTTCGGTGTGTATCTTCTGGTGGATATGGCTTCCCTGCCTGAAAGAATATCGACACGTTCTTTTTGTGGATATTTTTTTTCTGCATATTCTCCTGTGGTCCCCTTGTGGTCCGGGTAGGCCGTTTTTGCTTGTGGTACGGGTCGGTTTCGTGGGATGTCTCGAGGATTTGCTTGTTGTACGCTTGTGGTCCCCTTGTGGTCCGCGTGTGGTCCGGTCGACCTCCCCTTAGCTGGCCCAAAAGGAAGTGTCGACCTTCGCTTTGCTCTGCTCCACGCCATGGGCACACATAGTCTATATAACTTGCTCGGTATTCAGCTCCAAACATACCAACAGACACTGCATCATATTTCTTTACGTGACATGTTTCTAACAAAAACATGTAAAATCCTGTAGTTTCCACGCTACCCCAGCCCTTTCTTAAAAAGCATATGAAACATAGCCCTCGGCCTCCTTGTGACTGAAACCTCACAAAATACAGCATTTTTTAGTTATCCAAGTTAGTTAACTGGCATGACCTAGTTATAACTGATCCCGTCCAGTTATCCAAGTTGCTCGATTCCTAACTCTGACAACATAACTTATAAGTTATGTTATAAGTTATGTTGCGCAAGATATAACTTGCTCTGTAACTAGAGGGCCCCGCATTGTAAGGCTGGTCAGGGGCATGCCCCGTTGTCTTACAGTGCTTTCCCTACACCCTAAACCCCAAACCCTAAACCCACAAGAAGAAACCCTAAACCCTAAACCCTAAACCCTAAACCCTAAACCCTAAACCCTAAACCCGACAAGGAAGGCTCTCTCTGCAGCCAGAAGGGACCCTGTGTCGTGCATGCCAAGGGGTTGAAAGATCCTCTGGTGCCTCAGTCGACGGTTGGTTCTCCCTACGAGGTGGATAGTTGTAAGTAGGGTTTTAAGTACCCTACATGGGGTTAGAAGAATACTTACCCTACCCGTGAACGGGGGGGGGGGAACTTCGAAGTCTCCTTTGCGCAGGGTGCTGGGGTCCTTGAGCCAGTCCACCCTTCGAGCCCATTCCTACTTGGGGATCCTGGGAGCAACATCCAACATCTGCGGCCGACAGCAGCATGTACTAATCCAGGAACCCATGGCATGCTTAGTACGTAGCCTAGCAGCCATATTGAAGTAAGGGTACCCTTTTTGGTTGGCTACTTTTTAAGGGAACCAACTACCAAAAAAAGTGTACAGGGTAGCACTGGGCTACCAAGTACATTGGACCAAGTGCAATTAACAAACTCTCATCTCAAAGGGCTTGGGCCCCTGACCCTGGTTTAGGTTTTTATTTGCCACCCGTCTAGTAATGCTGAACGGGGCAACTGCAGAGGAGGCAACGGTTGAAGTTGCAGACTGGTTTGAGGTTTACGGTTTAGGGTTATAACTAGGCTTTCGTAAACACTACATGGGGACTTGTCTGAAATGTGGTCCCTTTGGGGTCCTTTTTGTAAGGCGGCCCCTATATATTGTTTTATTGGGGCCATCACTTTCTTCCAGCAAGGTGCAAGAACTCGCCCAGCTTCTGCTTGCTGATGACCTCCACGACACGGCCAAGGACGTCGGTCGAAAAGCCGTAGGCGTATGAGTCGCCGGGATGGAACCGCAGGGGCACCTGGCAGGCCAACCGGAAACGGAAACACAGGCCATTTAGTGCCTAACAGGCCTAAATCCTCCATCATCCAGTGCAAAACCAGAATAGCACCAGTTCGAGCTGAATCCAAGTGTGTATGTAGGTTTTTGGTCACAGGCCGGCGAGCCTTCGCCAGACGATTCACAAAGTCCGCCAGATTCCGGACTTTTCCAGAATCAACTTCACCCAAAAGGTTCGCGTATCCTTGTTCCGTGGCATCGCTTGGATCTTCGCCGAATCCACAGCCATAAGACAGCCCGGAGGTATGGGTCATCCTTGCATTCGACACGTATCGCTGAAATCGATGGGGGCAGCCATCGTAAGACATTTACATTCCTCATGTATATCAGCAACAAAGGATTGACATCCGAGGCTCAAAACATGAACAGGATCGTGCCCCCACCTGTTCTCATGATTGTAGGAAACGACCTTTCCACCAATACAGGGGCCTAAATAATTCGAATAGTTCTTTTTTTTTTTTTTTTTGGGGGGGGGGGGGGGGGTATTCCAGTATAATTACAAAGGGACCATAAGGGAATATTGCTAGCTATTCCGACCCCTCTAGTACATCCGAGCCGCAGGTGGTGCATTCGCATCGCCCGTTTAGGCTTGCAGAGCCTGGATGGGGGAGACTCCTCCCTCGAACGTGAAGCAACGACCTGGCCGAAGAAATTACCCTAAAACCCTAAAACCTAAACCCTAAAACCCTAACTCCCTAAAACCCTAAAACCCTAAAGCCCGAAAACTCTAAACCCTACAACCCCAAAACTCTAAACCCTAACCCACCCCTGCGGAGTGCTGAACCCCAGGAGTTCCCAAACATGTACACTGAGGCACTGTGGGAGAAAACCCGTCGAATGCTCAGAAGTCTGAAGGTGACGGATTGCAAACCCTGGAAACCCTACACCCTAAACCCTGCATAGTTCACAAGGGGAGACTCCGCCCCTCACATGGGGCATTTTTCCTTCAAAAATACGGTAATTCTGACTATAGGAACCTGCACCTGGACCCGAAGTACGCAACCCCATAGGGCGTAAGGTAATGAAGGAAAATCACATGAGCGGCACGCAGGACTCTTAAGATCCGACAACCTTTAGAATCCCCTCCCGCTAATATTAACCCCCTCCCCCACCCCCCAATATTAAATACCCCCATTATAGAAATAGGGTTTAGGGTTTAGGGTTTGGGGTTTGGGGTTTAGGGTAGCATGCGGCGGGTAATTTAGGGCTAGTGTGTGGGGGGGAGGGGAGGGGGTTTAATATTAGGGGGAGCGGATTAAGCACGTGGGCTTCCACCACCCTTCTTTGGAGTACCCAAAGAGCCCCATACCACTGAGTTATAAAGAGCATACCTCAAACGAGATTAAGTACCCCTACATGATTTAAGGCATATTCCTTATTTATTAAGTAAGGAATATATGCCTTAATATCATGTAGGGATCCTTAATATAATTTAAGGTCTATTCCTTAATGAAGGGGTATGGGGGTATTGGGGGCTCTTTGGAGTATTGCCTCACCCCTAAACCCTAAACCCTAAACCCTAAACCCTAAACCCTAAACCCTAAACCCTAAACCCTAAACCCTAAACCCTAGCCTTCACGTCTGCGAAGGCTGGCAGGAACTTGGCCACCGGATCATCCAGTCGCACCTGCCCATCCTCCACCAACATCATGAAGGCCACGGTCACCTTGCAAAACAAAAAAGGGGCACCTAATGATATGTAGGGTTTAGGGTTTAGGGTTTAGGGTTTAGGGTTTAGGGTTTAGGGTTTAGGGATGAATGTCGTATAGTGTGTACATCTGCCTATAGGACTAAGAAGAACTGTTTTGTGGGCCGCATGTCGTTTTTCCTGTTGACCGGAGTTGTTCATGGTTCATGGCATGCAGGCAACCACGCAAAGCAACAGACCGTCAGCAAGAGTATGGCCAGAACAAGAGCTGAGTCACAAACGTCTTCGTGACGCAGAAGACACGACAAATGGTGTCCAACTGGAATGTCCGGCGTGCTTCCAAGTCGGCGAATCCAAATGCTTTGGCTTGCACGACCTCTCCTTGGTAGCTCAGCAACCATATTATAATAAGGGCACCCTTTTTTGGGTTGAACCCTAAACAGTAAACCCTAAACCCTATTTTATAAAGGGAAACCAGAAAGGGTGCCACTGGGCTACCAAGCCTCCCATCTTGAGCACCACACTGGCGCAGCCAGGAATCAGGTTCTTGCGGGATGCGCGCTTCATGGCCGTCTCATATTTCTGAAAAGCAGAAGGTCTCAGGCCCGCAGAGAGGGGATCTGAAACTACCAGGCTTGCATCTTGCGGACTGGTTCGCAGCATGCGCAGAAGGGCTCGTGGCCGTTTGCCCAGATTTTGTCTGGGACGCGTCCTTGTCGCAGCGGGCCTCGCGGGCCTCGTGCACCTGCGCGCTCTTCGAAGAGCCATGGCGCAGGAAGGGGGACCTTATAAGGGGCCTTAGGGGGTCTATGGTATATAGGGACTATAGAAGGTATATAGATGAAATATTTTTTCAGAGCCTGATTTGGTGTTGATGAGCAGCTTCCTGGTTGGCGACGAAAGCTTCATGACATCTTGCTTCGTCTTCGATGAGCACAGAAAATGAGCATGGATGATCAAGAGAGGGCCCAGACTGTGCCAGACTTCTTGGGGGTTTCCGAAACTAGGGGTACCTTCTTCAGGTCCTTATTCTAAGGGAATCCTACTATTTGGGGGTCTAGTTTATAGGGGTCCCCTATCTTCGTCAACCCCCATATAGCTCCGAGCAAGCAGCTGCGGCGTCTACGGAATCAACAGTGCATCCATGGCAAGCCAGGGCCCCTGCAAGAGTCACAGAAGCAGTGTCGAGCCTAAAAAGCCTGTTGGAGTGCTTTCGTAGGGGTCAGCTAAACCCTAAACCCTAAACCCTAAACCCTAAACCCTAAACCCTAAACAGCCCGGCTGCACATCCACCTGAGCCTCGAACTTGAGAGTCTGAGCAGCCACGGCTGCATCACCTCGCAGCAGTGCCTCAAAGGGCGCTCAGGGCTTCTGTGGGGTTCGGGTTTAGGTTTAGGGTTTAGGGTTTAGGGTTTGTGGTTTGGAGTTTGGGGTTTTGGTCGTTTACGGCTCGTGTTCTAGAAAGGGGTTCAGGGATGCCCATGTCACTGTACTTCATGGGTCGTAGGATGCATCTGTAAGCACCAGGCGCTCATCAGAAGGTACCTGAGTCACCAAAGCAGCGCAGCCCGAAAACCCTTGAGCCCCTCAAAACCCATAAACCCGAGCACCCTAACACACCAACACCCTAACACCCTAACACCCTAACACCCTAACACCCTAAAACCCTTAAGCCCTAAACCCCTAAGACCCCAGCCGATACTTTTCGCTTGTCCGTCAAAAAATCTGACCTCTGACCTGAGCAAGACCACATTCTTAATCCTAAAGTGTGCCACTGTCACCGTGAACCCTCTCCTAAGTTCCGGAAACCCTCCCTCTTGCATCCGGACTGCTTTGAGAAAACCTTCTGAACCCCAAAGCTCTCCTGGAACCCTAAACCCTAAACCCCGAACCCTACCCTAAACCCTAAACCCTAAACCCTAAACCCTAAACCCTAAACCCTAAACCCTAAACCCTAAACCCTAAACCCTAAACCCTAAACCCTAAACCCTAAACCCTAAACCCCGAGTCTCGGAAACCCTACGGCGCGAAACTCTATAATACCAAGACTTGTAGCCCCACGCCAGGAGGAAGCATGGGCTCCAACATCTGACGTCTCGCAGGCGCGTATGCCTTGCGGGACGAGTCGAGGTGGGTACTTCCTAGGTTCAGGGTTTAGTTTTTTGGGGTTCGGGTTTAGGGTTAGGTAGGGGGTGCCCCCCTAGCACCTAAAAACCTTAAACCCTTGGTTGCACAAGCTTGTCCCAGCCCTAAACCCTAAACCCTCAACCTAGACCTCGTTATAGGAAAAGCCGCTGCTTCACGCAGGTTCGGGTAGATCTGCTCATTTATTCAGTCTCGCTCCTACTGTTTGCTCAAGAACCCCCAAAAAGCAAAACATGGCAATCCCTAAATCACCTCATAGGGAAGCATCCTGCTAGTTGTTTGGGGAGCTCTTGACAGCCCTGAGCTCCCTTTTCCCCCTGTGCTTTGGCATCGTAAGGGCCTCATGGAGGCGGCGCGATGCAGCCTGCGTGAGTTCTTCAACTTTTGGGGCTTGGCCAGGTGACCCTAAACCCTAAACCCTAAACCCTAAACCCTAAACCCTAAGCCCTAAGCCCTAAGCCCTAAGCCCTAAACCCTAAACCCTAAACCCAAACCCTAATTCTGAGAGAAGCGACCCATACATGGTTACAACCTTCATCTCCAGTTACTCAGGTGCCCAGAGCTGGGGCCGATCCCCCAGTCACAACAGACGCGCCGACGCTTTGGGGTTTAGGGTTAGGGTTTAGGGTTAGGGTTTAGGGTTTAGGGTCTAGGGCCTAGGGTTTAGGGTTTAGGGCTTAGCGTTTAGGGTTTCGGGTGTTTGGTTGGATTTTTCCTTGCAAACCTGCACAGCTGGGGCAAATCCACATCACAGGGCTAACTTCGAGGTTCCTCTGGGGCACGCCTACATCAACATCAGATCTTTTTTGGGTTTAGGGTTTAGGGTTTAGCGCAGTTCTTGGGTCAGAAGTTCATTACTACGACATACTACGACGGGCCAAGTGAGCCAACCAACCACGGAAAGAGCCACAGAAACAGCAAACCGTCCACCACGGCTCACATGACATGCTCTCAAACTCATTGGTCCGTCACGCTCAATCTACCGTAAACCCTAAACCCTAAACCCTAAACCCTAAACCCTAAACCCATCTTGGTGCCTGCAGCTCAAGAAGCTCCTCATTGCAGTCGCTCAGACGCAGATCGAGGAAGGCCTTGAGGTTCCCAGGCTTGCCACCCCCCATAGGGTTTAGGGTTTAGGGTTTAGGGTTTAGGGTTTAGGGCTAGAGCCCGCTATACCCCTTAAGGAATATTCGGCCTTGAGTGAATATAGGGGTCCTAACATACGATTTAAGGCATAGATTCCTTACTACGAGTAGGGGTATTGGGCTCCTTGCGCCTTTGACACTCTCTGAGAAAAATTCCCAATGAGATGGGTTTTAATGCTCAGCCTCGGGCGAACCGGCGAGGCGCTCGGTCAGTAATGACTGATGGGGAGCCCGATGAGGCTCAGGTGACACACCCGGCACGCTGCTTTCCCTCATCTCCATCTCAAACATGGCGACGTGTAGACCAGTTCCGGCGTTCAATCTTGTGCACTTTTCGCTGTTGCACACGGTTCGGTCGCACGCGCCCTTGCGCAGACTGGATGAGCAGTGCTCTGTCACTTGAGGTGGGTTCTGCCCTGACTATCGCCATCATTGACCTGTGCTACAAGGCAATGTATGACCTCGCAGGCCTGCAGCAAAACATGCAGAGGCTTTACGCGACTGGAGCTTGGCAGAGGCCCACAGGCTCTTGGCCAGAAAATGTGGTGACATCTCCCGGAACATCAGGGGAACTCGTTGCACAAGTCCTTCGCTTCCTGGCCCTTGAGCACCAGCTTCGCCACAGCCCAAAGGCTGTTTGTGAGGCACTGCGTGCTGATTTGGAGCAGCCGCGTCGTGCCGTGCATCATCGCCTCATTCGCGATCTGAGTTCCATCCGACCGCATAAGCTCTCGCTCAAACTTGCCAGGCCGCAGAGAGTGTTTGAAAGCTCCTGGCACGAAAGCTGGCTCATGTTCCGAGCTTGCCGAAGGTCCAGAGGGTTTAGGGTTTAGGGTTTCGGGTTTAGGGCACGTGAAGTTGTGAGCTCCTGGGCCCTTGACCTCTGACAGAACCCTTTCGAAGCGTGGGGTCATCGATCACATTCTCCAATCCTCCCATGGCGCCGTAGGCATCCTCCGAAAGCTTCGACATGAGGCGGGGAAAGACAGGCCATCCTTCCTTCCATACAGTAAAATCCGAATAGGGTTTAGGGTTTGGGGTTTGGGGTTTGGGGTTTAGGGTTTAGGGTTTAGGGTTCTTTCTTTCAGAATTCAGAGAGTGACGACTCCCAGCACCAAGTGTCGGGGAATTGGGCGTACTGTAGGTGTACAGGGCCTAGGAGTTCACACTTGGAACGCTCGATGGTCACCGCATCACACTGCCGGAAATCAGTCGCTTCTGGCAGTGTGATGCAGTGACCATTGGGGTGCTGGGAGTCGTCACTCTCTGAAATCGGGAAGAAAGAACCCTAAACCCTAAACCCTAATCTTTTGGACTTCGGATTCTGCTTATTGTGTGGAAGGAATGATGGCCATTGCTTGCCCGGCTCCGTGACCTCACAAGTCCCAGCGGCCCGTGTCAATGTGGCGAGTACCTCCCCCAACGTCCTTTTTCGTTTCTCACGCCCGTTCAGCTGGTCCGGCGATGTCGCTCTCTGTCCCGCTTGTAAACTACACAGGCCTGCGAACTCCGAAAGCCGCTGGCAGCGAGCTATGGGTTCCGAAACCCACCCACCCCAAAAAAGTACAAACACAGCCAAAAAGGTAAAGGACATACCTGGCTTCCGAGCCGGAGCAAAGAATCTCCCAAACCCTGGCCCCCTCGAGCCCGAAAACCTGCCAGCTAAGGGTTTAGGATTTCGGGTTTAGGGTCGGCATGCCCCCCCAAATAAGGAATATTGAATATACCTTAAATCATGCAGGGATCCTGAATATAATTTAAGGAAAATTCCGTCATTGAGGGGTATTGGGCCCTTTTGGGTAAGTGGAAGAATTTTGCCGCTGAGGCCCACACAACGAGCGCACGAGGGCTCGTCGGCTTTGCCTCAGCTCTTGGCCATTCGGATCTTGGAGCGCTTTTCATGGCCACCCGAAACCTCCAAACCCCATCCCCATTCGCCAAGCCTCACAAGTTCTAAACCCTAAACCCTAAACCCTAAACCCGCACAGCTTTTTGGGGGAACCTTCTGCCTGCCCTAAGTGCATCTATGCCAGGGGCCGGGCGGCAGGCGGGGCTTCGAAACTGTCCATGGCTTCCGATGCCTGTGTGAACCATTCAACTAGGTTTAGGGTTTAGGGTTTGGGGTTTAGGGTTTAGGGTTTATAGGGTTTATAGGGTTTAGGGTTTAGGGTTTAGGGTTCAGGGTTCAGGGTTGGGATGTTCCCCCTTATACTAACAGTCCGTAACAGGGACTATAATAGGGGGTACACTATAATCCCACTTGAGGACTGCTAGTACAAGGGGGAACAACATCCCAAGTAATCCCCTTAGAGTGCTCATAAAAAAGGTTTTTTTGTTTAAGTTTATTTGGTATCCCCGTATGCTTTATTTCCATAAATACAAATACATCTTAAGGGGGCTAGAGTCAAAGGGTTTCCGTTTAGGGGTGCGCAGCCTATCGCAGCAGCAGCACTGCACCCCTAAACCCTAAACCCTAAACCCTAATCCCTTCAGGGAGTTTACGTTTTAGGCTTCCGCTCCGGCTTGGGAGCTTTCATGTCGGACTCGTGCCGGCAGGCCCCGGACTTCAGGGCCTAGTTTTAGGGCTTAGGGTTTGGGGTTTAGGGTTTGGGGTTTAGGGTTTAGGGTACGAATCAACAAACATTGCCCGCGCCAAGCAAGTTTGATGCGACCACGACCATGGGTGTTGCTGCATATGGTGTGCATTCCTTGTGCCAACAGTGCTCTGCGCACATACATGTCATCCCCAGCAACTCCTCTCCGGATGCTTGGTCTCGAAACCAGAACTCCAACTGCCCTAAACCCTAGACCCTTTTTAGGTTTAGGGTTTAGGGTTTAGGTTTAGGGTTTCGGGAAGGGCCCTAGACCCTAAAACCCTAAACTGCGCTGCTCCCCCTGCCTTTCGTTTGACCATCAGTGCTCACCCATCAGGCCGGGTGAGTGTGGACAAAGCTTGGCAGTCTTGGTGCTTGAACTTGGAACACTCTAAACCCTAAACCCTAAACCCTAAACCCTCAACCCTCAACCCTAAGCCCGAACTCACCTGTGGCCGAAGCTCAGAACCCCAAACGCCCAAACTCGGCTTGAACCGCTTATGATCGCTCTTCCGCTGCGCCCTCACCTAAGAAACCCTAAACCCTAAACCCTAAACCCTAAACCCTAAACCCTAAACCCTCCTCATCAGTGCATATGTTAACATTGCGGAGCGTCGCGGTGTACCTGCATAAGCCCAGCTTCGGCGGCTCTCAGATTCAGGTCCAAGCTTGCAAGGAGGGTTTCTTTCCCAGCCGTTTCGCATGCGTCTTGCGGGGAAAAGGTCTGGTTGGGTTTAGGGTTTAGGGTTTAGGGTTTAGGGTTTAGGGTTTAGGGTTTAGGGTTTAGGGTTTAGGGTTTAGGGTTTAGGGTTTAGGGTTTAGGGTTTAGGGATTGGGGTTTAGGGTTTAGGCAGAGTTTAAGGTTGCCTTGTCAGGCAGGGTGTCTACGTACCTGGGCAATGAACAGGTCGCCGGCTTTACAACAGACTTACCGCTTATGAAGGCCCGTGGCCTCTTTATCTGTTGCCCTTATATCTTGATATAGCCCCTAGATACCCTAGTAAGGACCCCGAATATATGCCCTATAAAACAAATAACCCTATTGAAAGAGACCACCAACTCATACAACTTACCGTACCTTGCAGGGCCCGAGCTCCGTCCTCACTTTTGATTGTGTCCGGCGCACGCTGTCGGCTCCATGTACCAGACTCCGAAGCCCCCCTAAACCCTAAACCCTAAACCCTAAACCCTAAACCCTAAACCCTAAACCCTACACCGCGAAAAGCGGGCCGAGGCCTCACTCCTGCGGCAGCGCGCAGGTGCCCGCATCGATACAGCGCGTGGCCTCCAAGGGCGAGATCATACCTTCGGAGCGCGGCGGTGCTCTGTGAACAAGCAGCGGTTTAGGGTTTAGGGTTTAGGGTTTAGGGTTTAGGGTTTAAGTTTAGGGTTTAGGGTTTAGGGTTTAGGGTTTAGGGTTTAGGGTTTGGGGTTTGGGGTTTGGGGTTTGGGGTTTGGGGTTTGGGGTTTGAGGTTTGGGGTTTGGGGTTTGGGGTTTGGGGTTTAGGGTTTGGGGTTTGGGGTTTGGGGTTTGGGGTTTGGGGTTTTTTAGATGGGATTTCCGAAAATAGTGGTGTTTTTGGGGGTCCCTTTAAGGGAATTCTATTCTATTTGGGGTATACAAGGGGTACCCCCTATTTGGGAAATACTCATGTAAACACCTAAACCACGAAGCTCTCAGTCTGGGGTCTTTGGCCCAACGCCGCCAAGCGCAGGACATGACAAGACTCACCCGACCACAAGGGTTTAGGGCTTAATCCCTCCCCCGCTAGTATTAACGACTCCCATTATATTTATTATCGTGTCCTAAACCCTAACCCCTAAACCCTATGGAGAGTATTTCATATTAGGGGGTCAAGGGGGGGGAGGGTAAAAAGTAGCGGAGGCGGCTTAGAGGGCTCAGGAGCCGAGATGCAAGACATGCCAGAGGTTCCATCACTGACCTCAGCAAAAGGGTTTCGGGTTCATGGAGTTTAGGGTTTTTTCAGAGGCTCTATCAGAAAGGATGTATCTCTTGGGGGACCCTGTACATCGGAGATGTGCTATAGGGCTTCTACGGTGATGTAGCAGATGACTGGGATGTGTTCAGAAGACCCTAGATGCCATGAGTTTTACCGAAGCTTCTACAACACCTGCTATTCCGCAGAATCAAGTTCCCAACTTAGATGCACAGTCTTCACCCGCCCCACCCTGGCATCTCCCCCACCCCCCCTGCCCCCCTGTGGTGGCATGGTGGGTTTTGGGTGACGGTTTTGGGTTTAGGGTTTCCCCCCTGCCCCAGTGGTTCATGGCATGTGGTTCATGGTGGCTATAGGCTTTGGGTTCAGGGTTAGGCTTGTAGGTATACTCCCCCTGCGGTTCGTGGGGGGTTCGTGGTTCAGGGTTCAGGTTTTCGGGTTTCCCCTCTCCCCCCGTTAGTACTGGGGTTTAGGTTTTAGGGTTTATAGGGGTTTCGGGTTCGGGCAGGTTTGTGGTGGGTCGATAATTAACGCTCAGCTTGATTGGGCGGGGGGGAGGGCGGGAGAGTAGGCGGAGCGCGGGCACATACAAAGACCATTGAGTTGCCAAACACCCCAGGCCCTCAAATTCCGGCATCCACAAATCTTAATCCCTGTTCCCCTAGGAAGAAAAAAGGATCCTTTTTGTTCATATATAAGAAAGCCCATAACCCAAAAAGTAAAAAGGATCCCTAACACTGATCGAGAGATGGTGGCGAGTAGCAAAGCCCCCATTGCACCTCTCCTTCGGCTGGGATTCGCAGTTGTCCTTAGTGCCGGTACCCAAACTTCTTCTGCAGGGGCCCTAAACCCTAAACCCTAAACCCTAAACCCTAAACCCTTAAACCCTCAGCCTTAAACCCAGGAGCGCCGGACCCTTAAACATAACGTAAACCCGACGGGCTTAGGGTTCGCTAGAGCTTCGACTATCACACGGGCTTGGGGGATTCAACCAAAGAGGACCACCCTAAACCCTAAACCCTAAACCCTAAACCCTAAACCCTAAACCCTAAACCCTAAACCCTAAACCCTAAACCCTAAACCCTAAACCCTAAACCCTAAACCCTAAACCGGACCCACCAGGATCAGCTAAAGCGGACTGACTGTTGGGTCGCCCCGCTGGGGCCATTTTGAGGCCCGGATCCCCTTGGTATAGTAGTGATGTAGCGGTGTTTTTTCGCATTATGATGGCATTTTTTATGCATTTAAGCAGGAAAAAAGATCTTTATCATGGCATTTTATGAATTTTAAGCTCTGAAACAAGACTCATTATACTAATAATGTTATGCTGCCATGTTAGTATCTTCGGCCCCTGCCATCCTGGGCCTCTAAATCGCCCGGCGAACCCCCCCCCCCCCAAGGGTAGGATTCCCTTGTGGTAAGGATCCCTAAAGGCTTACAAAAACAAGGGACCCCTAATATAACCCCCCCCCCCCACCCCGGCAAGGGTAGGATTCACTTGAAATAAGGACCCTAACCCAAATGTTGAAGACCCTTAGGTCTCTCAGCAGCACGAATGCACGCCCGGGCGGCGCCGAACAACTCCCGTCCGCTGCACTCGAGGTAGCAGGTGGTACCGCCGGAGGCACACTTTCCTTTCCTTCGCAGCGGGACGTTCTCCATCTGTGGGTTGTCGTCAAGTTCGTTTAGAGTTGGGCCGGGGTTGCGTGAGGATTCGGACATGAACGGTTCGCGGAAAGGAGGGAGGGACCATAGCGCACGAGACATTACATTCCTCATGCCCACATAGCTAAACATCACATTTGCGTACATCGGCCTCCGCCCATGACTTGCAGCAGTTACTTTGTGCACATTCCACACGCACAAGCAATGCCCTTGGTATTTGCAGCCTGTAGCATTTCCAAGCAAGCTAGCATGATCATAGAACTTACTGAATGCACAGTTCGCCAATAACATTCCACAAGAAAGTGGGGTCCCAAAAACGTACATTCGACAGGCACTCAAGCTAACGGTATTGCCAGCACCTTACGCATTAGAAGTATCTTCTCGAGAGTGGAAAACTCAAGCGCTCCACCCTTTACAGCTCGAACTGCTGTAATTAAACACAGTATTTCACCGCTTGGGACTCTATGGCCCATATGGTGCTAGTAGCCATAGGCCGTGAAGCAGAATCTTGCGGGGTCTGTCTTTTAGCTTGGGAGCCTCCGGCCTGCACACCCTAAACCCTAAACCCTGAATCCTAAACCCTTCCGGACTCCCGTAAACCCTAAACCCTAAACCCTAAACCCTAAACCCTAAGATCCCACCTCCCCCGATGCCAGGCGTCTTGTCCACCTTGCACTGCTTCAGAACATCCTCTCCGCAGGAGTGGAAGACGCTGACGCAGTTGCCTCTTCCCAGGCGCAAAATGTTGAGCCCTGGTCGGGGTACTTATATTATAGGTTCCATGTGACAATATAGGATCCCGAAATTATGTAATAAACAGGCTTTCTGTACTATAATAGGGGTCGCCAAATCACAAGGTCCAGTATAAAAGATATATAAGGTTCGTATTACATAGGAGTACAAATTACATAAGGTTCCGGATTGTAATGTAGGAGTTCCTAGGTTGTATAAGGTTCCGCATTTTAATAGGAGTCCCAAACATCATGTCGAGAGAGCCTCCCATTGGGCTTGGAGGGTTTGGGGGTTGCTGCTATACGTGATGTAGAGGAAGACAAATCCTCGCAATTCTTGGGCCTAAACCCTAGAGGGTCTATATAGGGCTTGGGCATCCTAAGCCCCCTAGGCAACTCACCCGAATTCATTAAGCCTAACAGATTCCGCAAAACCTGAGGAACCCTAAACCCTAAACCCTAAACCCCAAACCCCAAACCCCAAACCCCAAACCCTAAACCCAAAACCCTAAACCCTAAACCGATCCGGGGGGGGGGGGGGTGGGGCGCTGGGGCAGCCTGCCGATTTGGCCTTGCAAGGATCAGAGCCATCGGCTGGGCAGTTCGTCAAGTGTGTGCCGACCTGGGAAGAAGCTTCCTGTTGGTTAGTAGGGTTTAGGGTTTAGGGTTTAGGGTTTAGGGTTTAATGAGGTACCCCAAATAATCCCTTAAAGGGTAAACATAGGGCCCAAATTCCCTCATCCCCTACTAACCAGCAGTAAGGAAGGGGGACTTCGCCAAGCTCGGAAGGAGAGCCCTGGTAGCCCCAGTAAGAATGATCTACTAAGGCTGCCCTTTGTGGGGTTGGATACTTTGTAAGGGAACCCTGAAGCCACAAAAGGGCAAGAGGGCACCACTGGGCTAATCACCAAGGAGGTGCCTGGGGATGCCCATTGGGGATTGAACAATTCAAAGCTCGAGAGGGCTTGTCCGGAGAAGCCTGAAGAGTCACCAGAGATGTTTAGGGTTGAGGGTTTAGGGTTTAGGGTTTAGGAGTGTCCCCGTCTCGTGTCCGAACTCCGGTGCAGAAGAGCGGCGCACTTCTTTGCACGGGCCTTCTTCTTTTTCTTCTTTGTCACCTTTTCTGCCAGTTCCGTGCCATGGGATGCCTGTGCCAGGGAAACGCTCAGTCAACCTGCAAAACCTTGAGCAGCAAGAGTAACCACCAACATCCCGGACGTTTTCAAAGATCTAAACCCTAAACCCTGAACCCTAAACCCTTATAAACCCTAAACCCTAAACCCAGTATGAGGTTGAGGGCGGCTTCATTGACCCTCCGAAAACTTCTGTGCTGGAATGTTCCTGCCAGTACAGGGCATGAATCACACCGCTGGCCTCGTCTGCATCCAATCGGTCCAAGATTGCTTCGACCTCCTGGCAACTCCCCAAACCCTAAACCCCAACTGGAACCCTAAACCCGTGTTGATAGGCACCCTGGGCCAAAAAAAGGTTCACCTTCCAACTATGGGTAGGATTCTATATGTATATATATATATACACCCCAAAAGGATTATATATATATATATACCCTAAAAGGTTAAAGGCTACCTACTCAGCTAAGAAACCCTGAACACCTCGACCACTTCCGAGACCGCGTGGCGGGGAAGCCCAAATTTTCCTCAGCCTCCTTACGTTTCGCAAGTTTTCAGAGAGCCCGATACCCCTTAATTGCGGCACATGCCCTAGATGATGCATTCCTCTATGCTTTTAAGGTATATTCCTTATGGAAGGGTATTGAACTCTGTACAAAACATGACATATACGGCCACATATCTATATATCCATGATTCCGGGTACAGCTTAGAAGCATTTAGTTCATAGGCATCAGATAAGTGGAGCCGCAATAGGCGGGCGCCCATTTGTAAAAACCTCAAAATAAACTCAACTCTTTCCACAAGTTTTGAAAGCCAAAACCGTGTGGGGGCATTATAAAATCTTGGAGTACTATTCGGTTAAGAACCACCCAAAACATGAACATGTTCGTCCTTGGATGGAAGGATGGATGGATGGATGGCACGCAGGGTACGGCTGCCAAAGGGTGCCTTCCCCTCCGCCGTCTCCGGGAGCCTCCGCAAGCGTCATCGGCAACCCTCCAGCAAAGGTTCGAGGTCCCTGACTGGCCACCCCTCGCAAGCATCCATGAACTCACGAGTGCGCACAGGCCAGACGGCAGTGGATCCTCGAATTGTATGCGAGCACAGGGCCAGTAGTGAGTCCACGCATCCTCCACTCACACCCTGCACTCTATAGGCAAACACTGCCAATGCCCAGAGTGAGTGCCCATAACAGTATGGGTTGCGGCATGGCAACACTGCTCCAGCAGGCTGTGGAAGCAGCCATCGTCCTTACCCTGGCAATATAGGGAGTATCGCTTTTTACTTTCATCTATTTTTGTATTTATCTGTCCTTCTTTTGTTTTTTTTGAGGGGGGGGGGGAGAGGGGGGTTGAGGTTCTTAAGCCAATAGTAATTTCCAGGGTTATGTAGGGATGAGGGCCCATAGAGCTCGAACATTTACAAAATGCTCCAAAAACTAACCCCAGTTAAGGGTTAATAGAAAGGTCCCTAGAATCTTTTTGGTTTAACCCGAAGGGTTTTCGGGTTTGGGGGAACCCCTAAACCTCTTCCAAAATTCCCGGGCAAAGCCGGCTGACTGGGCCTTGGGTTGCAGATAAGTAGGATTCGGGCTGGCTTGGGAAGTTCTATGTCATGACGAAAAGTTTAGGGTTAGGGTTTAGGGCTGAGGGGCATGGGATTCTTGGGGCGGGCGGTATTTTTTCCAACGCTCGACAAACTGCTTGACTAGTGAATGCTCGGACTTGAGATGCTGATTCCCAACCCTAAAACCCTAGATACTGAACGCTAAACCCTAAACCCGAAATACTGAACCTAAGCCCCTGCCCCTACCCCCTAAACCCTGAACCCTAAACCCTGAATACTGAGCCCTAAACCCTAAACCCTAAACCCAAAACCCTAAGCAACAAACCCTGAATACCTGTCGGGGGGGGGGGGGGGGGGGGAGGAGGTCCTCGGAGCCGCCCTGCGCCGAGCCGCGGGCCTCCGTACGAAGCAGCGCCGCGGGCGTCCTCGGCTTGGTATCTCAGGGGTTTAGGGTTTAGGGCTAGGGTTTAGGGTTTAGGGCTTAGGGCTTAGGGTTTAGGGTTTAGGGCTTAGGGTTTCGGGTTTAGGGCTCAGGGCTTAGGGTTTAGGGGGGTTTCGGGTTTAAGGTTCAGCTGTTTACGGGAATTTATTAGGGTTTATAAGGGCTTGCACAGGAGGTCTGGCTTTTCCGGGCTTCAGAGGTATCATGTATAGTTCTAAGGCTTCCAGGATTCAGATCATCGGGGTTAAAGGGTTTGCGACCCTAAACCCTAAACCCTAAACCCTAAGGACTAAACCCTCTTGAGAGTTTAGGGTTCCCATGCCATTCTTGAGGAGTGCAGGGTGGAAATGACCGGATTCTGGGCACCGGCAGGATGGAGTTCTGAACGGTTTAGGGTTTAGGGTTCAGGGTTTAGGGTTAAAGGGTT